TGGTCTGCTGCTTCCCACTCTGTTGGGATGAGCAGGGCACACACAACAAAGTCCAAGCTCCCTCCCAGGGTGGCTTAGGGGGAGGCATGTAGGCTTTGAAGTCAAAGCTAGGTCAAACCCAGTCAGGACCTGGTCTTGGACCAGTCAGTGATCCCCCAGCACCCCTGTCTGTTCAGCTGAAAGACAGGAGAACACAGTGAGCTTGTGAACAGAACCACTTGGCGGGGCGCCCGGGTGACTCAGTCGGTTGAGCGTCCGACTTCAGCTCAGGTCATGATCTCATGGTTCGTGGGTTCGAGCCCCACGTCGGGCTCTGCTCTGACAGCTCAGAGCCTGGAGCCTACTTCAGATTCTGTGTCTCCCTCTCTCTCTGCCCCTCCCCCACTTGTGCTCTCTCTGCCTCTAAAATAAACATTAAAAAAATTTTTGAAAAAAGAACCACTTGGCATACGGAGCTCAAAAAAAAAAAAAAAAAAAAAAAAAAGGAATAACCGCAACCCAAGTGTCCATGGAAGGATGAATGGTAAGCAAAATGTGGTCTACACGCACAACGGAGTATTATTCATTTTTAAAAAGGATGGAAATTCTGACAAGTGCTACAACACGGAATAATCCTGAGGACGTTGGGGCACCAGGGTGGCTTACTCGGCTAAGTATCCAACTCTTGATTTTGGCTCAGGTCATGATCTCGTGGCCGTGGGATCGAGCCCCACGTTGGGCCTCATGCTGAGCATGGAGCCTGCTTGGGATTCTGTCTCTCTCTCTCTCTCAATAAATAAATAAATAAATAAACAAACATTAAAAAAATAATAATCTTGAGGATGTTAAGCTAAAGTGAAATAATCCAGACACAAAAAGACAAATACTATAGGCCTCCGCTTCTATGAGGTACCCAGAGTAGTTAAATTCAGAGACAGAAAGTGGAATGCTGGTGCCAGGAGCTGGAGGGAAGAGGGAATAGGGAGGGAATCAGTGTTGCTTGGGTACAGTCTCATATCTACAAGACGAAAAAGTTCTGGAAATGGATGGTGGTGACGGCTGCACAGCAAAGTGAATGTACTTAATGTCATTGATCTATACACTTGAAAAATGGTTAAGATGGTTAAGTTTTGGGTTACGTGTATTGTTAAGTAGCAAAAATTCAACCAAGTATATTCTGAGATCTAACTGACTTTATTAATCGGTTCATGAATCAGGCAGTATCCCGTCTAGCAAGCAGAGGGGAGTTTCAAAGGGCAACACAAAAGGAAAGGTTTGTAAAGGTAGAGAAGGATGGGGCACCTGGGTGGCTCAGTCGGTTAAGCAGCCAACTTTGGCTCAGGTCATGATCTCACAGTCCGTGAGTTTGAGCCCCACGTCGGGCTCTGTGCTGACAGCTCAGAGCCTGGAGCCTGTTTCAGATTCTGTGTCTCCCTCTCTCTCTGACCCTCCCCCATTCATGCTCTGTCTCTCTCTGTCTCAAAAATAAATAAACGTTAAAAATAAATAAAAAAGGTACAGAGGGAGTGGAAAGCAAGCAATTAGTAGCAGAGAATCCATTGTTTTAGGCAAGGGGGCCCTTCTAGGGGGAACAGAAGGGGACTCTCAGTGATTTTCTTGTGCTGACCAGGAAGTTCCCATGTTGACTAGTTAAAGGTTGCATTTGTGGGGGGTTGAAACTGCAGTCAGGCTGGGTATTGAGTGTTGATTTAATGACCTGGAGACTTTACCTAAGGGATGCCATTTTGGGCTCGTGGTTTTCTTTTAAACAGTATTTTACCACAATATTAAAATTAATGAAAGGGCGCCTGGGTGGTTCAATCATTTAAGCGTTGGACTCTTGATTTCGGCTCAGGTCATGGTATCACGGTTCGTGAGTTCGAGCCCCATGTTGGGCTCTTGGCTGACAGCACGGAACTTGCTTGGGATTCTCTCTACCTCTCTGCTCCTTCCCCGCTCACGCTCTTTCTCAA